AAGAAAATCAAGTGAAGACCCCTAGACCTTCATCTCAAGAGGTAATACTTCATCACCCCCAACTCTTGTTTGTTTTATTCTCAGATATAAGGGGTCACTAGTGAGGTTATTCATGGGTATAAATGGATTCCTTGCATGCATGTTAAACCTTAGAGTAGTGGGAGGTGGTGAATTAAAGAGGGGTTCAAAGTGATATAAATTGCTCTCAACAAGGAGGCCTAAGATCATATTGCACCTCTAGGGTTTGCCAATATGCTTGAACCAAGCTAGAGTCTCAATCTCCTCTCTAATTCTCGATTTCATTTGTAATTCTTACTCAATAGATCGAAGTGCTAAGAGTCCGGAAATTTGTAAAAGAGTAAGGAAAGCTTTATTGAGGTATGTTTGGCTAAAACCCCCTTTTTATTAGAAATTGAACTCCGCTGTCATTTATGAAAGCATGGTAAGAGTTGAATTGGTTAGCATATTGCTTGTTATTACGCATTAATTGATTTGCAATTATCTATACATATTCGTGAAGGATGTGCCTCAATGTGAATAATGTGCCAATCTTGACAATTAGATAATGATGAAAAGTACAGTCATGTGTTGAAATACTTGGGCTATAAGCCAACATTGAAACAAAGAATTATTCATGCTAGCTATGTGCTCATTTACCTGTGATTGCAATTTGAATTATCCTTGATATATGTGTCTATGTTTACAACTTGTAAAATGAATATTAAAAAAGAGGGAAACGATGTGATGATGGTGGCCATGAGTGCCCAGGAATTGTTATGATATGTGTGGGATAAAGATTTGAAGTGTTGACTAATGAGAATGGAGTAATGCCTCTAATGAGGTGACCTAGCCGATCGGGTCGTGATCGGACACCATGCCGCACACATGGTGGTAATGTGCTGATATTGGATTCCGGATAAGGGAAATGAGATATTGATTGAGAGTAATGCCTCCAATGAGGTGACCTAGCCGGTCGGGTCGTGATCGGACTCCGCTTGGGATAGCGGTGGTAATGAGAACAGTGGTGAACACGTGACAGAAATGCCCTAATCAATGTTGTGGAAATTGTATGAAAGATTATATGAATTGCTTCTTTGACTTGCCCATATTATTTGCTTGTATCTGTTTGGTAGTTCTTTCTAGTAAAATGGTGTTTAGTTATACATAATTCAAATGTACTGACGTCCCTTTTTCCGGGGGCGCTACATTCGTGTTATGATTGTAGGTGGCTCCATAGCGGACGGTGTCGACCGTGTGTAGCGGAGCGTTTCTTCTACTCAAAGTCTCGGTGAGCCCCTTTTCTTCCATGGGGCCATATGGTGTATCTTTTGTTATTACAGCTTTCACTTTTGAGGTATAGCCGGGGCGTTGTTGCGAGCCCACTCATGCTTATCTGTTGTATCCTTAGAGGCTCCAAAGACACTAGTGTGGGTTATGTGCGGGTAGAATCCGCTGTATGTATATGTTGTAGTCCTAACCTTGTAATCTCCTTAAGTTGTAACCCTAATAGAATCCTTGAAGCTAGCTTATGTACGGTAAATTTGTATGATATAAAGTGAACCAGTAATGTGGTGTACACCGTGTGTTATCGTCTAAATTAATCAAAGGCATGATTCCCGTATCCATTTTAATTTGGGGTAGAAAGTGCTCGGTAAGGCTATCTCCGTCGGGTTCACCCGATTGAGCGTCGGTCGCGCTCCTCGGATTTTGGGGCGTGACAAACTTGGTATCAGAGCCTAAGGTTTTAAAAGTGTCCTAGGGTGTCTTGGAGCCGTGTCTAGTAGAGTCCTTCTTATCGGTGTGTTGTCGACCACATCTATAAGTTGGAGGCTATTCGGACATCTAGGAATAACACCCTTCTTTGATATTCTGGATCGTGCGGTGAAACTGTTTACTTCATAATCAGTGTATTGTTCAATCTTTCAGTAAATGGCACCTAAGAAGAAGGCGAGAATTGGCCAAGGAGCCAATGCCACCTCAGGGGTGGTTAATGATCCACTGGTTGATGTTGCGGGCGAAGGTAGCCGCCCTACTGTTACCCTACCGGATCCTCCTGTTCCAGAACAACATACCTCAGTCCCTACAACTACGGAGGGTACCACTATACCTCCCGTTGATGCTCCTGTCCCGCCTCCAATCCCAACGTCCGGCTCTAGCATTTCCGATAGGGATCTTAAGGGAGCTATTCAAATGTTGACTCAGTTGGTGGCCTCTCAGGCCCAAAGGTCAAATATTGCACCCGGTTCATCCAGCCAGCCAGGGGATTCTACTAGTTCCAGGGTAAACAGATTTCTTCAGTTAGACCCTCCGGTATTCACAGGTGCCAATTCAGAAGAAGACCCTCAAGACTTTATCGATGAGATGCACAAGACCCTCAGGGTGATGCTTGCGACTGAGACAGAGGGAGTAGAGTTGGCTGCCTGCCGTCTGAAGGGGGTGGCCTATTCATGGTTTGAGTTATGGGAGGACTCCCGAGAGGAGGGGCACCCTCCGGCGAGGTGGAGTGAGTTCGCCGATGCTTTCATTGACCATTTCTTGCCCGCTGAGACAAGGGCAGCACGAGCAGCGGAGTTTGAAAATCTGAGGCAAGGTAACAGAAGTGTATGGGAGTACCACATAGAGTTTGCCCGCTTGTCCAAGTATGTTATTCATATGTTGCCCACTATGGAGGCTAGAGTGCGTCGGTTTGTTCAGGGCCTTAATCATTTGACTATTAATGAGGCTTCTACAGCAGCGTTGAATTCTGACATGAACTATGGGAGGATGGTAGCATTTGCTCAGGCCACAGAGGACCGTAAGTTGAAGAACAGAATGGCGAGAGAAAGTAACAGCAAGGCCCGGTCTACGGGCAACATGGGAGAGTCGCTAGGTGGGGGAAGATGAGCTTTTAGGGAAGGATCATCAGGGCCTTCCCAGTCTGTTGCACAGTCTTCAGCCAGTGCACCGCCATCAGGGCCCAGCCAGCAGCAGTGGAGTCGTTTCAGGCCCGGTCAGGGCAACAGGGGATTCCACCAGCGAGGTCGGTCAGGGGAGAGGTTTCAGCAGCAGCAGAGATCCCCGTGCCCCAAGTGCGGGAAGATGCACTCGGGGGTCTGCTACACGGAGTTGCCTATATGTTATGGATGTGGGATGAGGGGCCATATTCAGAGACACTGTCGTGCATCTCGCCAGGGAGCGGGTAGGGGCCCGGCTCAGCCCTCCAGTCCAGCAGCTGCCACATCTTCAGCTCCCTCTCTTGCTCGAGGTGCCCCAGCAATTGCAGATCGTGGCGCAGCTAGGGGTGGTACACAGAGTTCGGGAGGTCCCAGCCGATTCTATGCTATGAGTGGCCGTCAGACTGCAGAGGCTTCTCCAGATGTTGTTACAGGTATTCTGACTGTCCAATCTCATGATGTGTATGCGCTTATTGATCCTGGTTCCACTTTATCCTATGTTACCCCGTTTGTTGCTATGAGATTTAGTATAGAACCGGAGCAGCTTCATGAGCCATTCTTAGTATCCACCCCAGTTGGTGAGCCAATTTTGGCTGCTCGAGTTTATAGAGGTTGTGTTGTTACGGTGCGTGGTAGGGATACCGTGGCCGATCTCATCGAGTTGGGAATGGTGGATTTCGATGTAATAATGGGAATGGATTGGCTTTACTCATGCTTTTCCAAACTTGATTGTAGGACTAGAACCATTAGGCTTGAATTTCCTAATGAGCCCATCATCGAATGGAGGGGAGATAATGTAGTGCCCCGTGGTCGGTTTATTTCCTACCTTAAGGCCGCGAAAATGATCAAGAAGGGGTGTATCTATCATCTAGTTCGAGTTGCCGACACCAATGCCGAGGCACCTAGCCTTGATTCTGTACCAGTTGTGAATGAATTTCCAAATGTCTTTCCAGATGAACTCCCTGGGATTCCGCCAGACAGGGAAATTGATTTTGGGATCGACGTGATGCCAGGCACACAGCCTATATCGATTCCACCTTACAGAATGGCACCGGCAGAATTGAAAGAGCTAAAGGAGCAATTGAAGGATTTGTTAGAGAAGGGTTTCATCTGGCCAAGTGTGTCGCCATGGGGCGCACCGGTCTTGTTCGTAAGAAAGAAGGATGGATCGCTACGGATGTGTATTGACTACCGGCAACTTAACAAAGTTACAATCAAGAACAAGTATCCCCTGCCAAGGATAGATGACTTATTTGACCAATTACAAGGTGCTATGTGTTTCTCAAAGATCGACTTGAGGTCCGGGTATCATCAATTGAAGATAAGGGAACAAGACATTCCAAAAACAGCTTTCAGGACACGTTATGGGCACTTTGAATTTATGGTGATGTCTTTCGGGCTAACAAATGCCCCAGTAGCTTTCATGGATCTTATGAATCGGGTCTTCAAGCCGTTTCTAGACTCCTTCGTGATTGTTTTCATTGACGACATCCTTGTGTATTCGCGGAGTCGGGAGGATCATGCCTATCACCTCAGGGCAGTTTTGCAGACTCTTCGTCAGCACCAATTATATGCGAAATTTTCAAAATGTGAATTCTGGCTTGAATCTGTCACGTTCTTGGGTCATGTTGTTTCCAGGGAAGGAGTTATGGTTGACCCTCAGAAGGTTGCGGCAGTGAAGAATTGGCCCAGACCTACCACTCCAACGGAGATTCGTAGCTTCTTGGGTTTAGCAGGGTACTACTGGAGGTTTGTGGAGGGGTTCTCTACCCTCGCCTCCCCATTGACCAAATTGACGCAGAAAGCAGTTAAGTTCCAATGGTCCGACGCTTATGAGAAAAGTTTTAAAGAATTGAAGAACAGGTTGACCTCGGCACCGGTATTGGCCTTGCCGGAAGGAACGGAAGGGTTTGTGGTTTATTGTGATGCCTCCAGGGTTGGTTTGGGGTGTGTATTGATGCAGCATGGGAAGGTTATAGCATATGCCTCAAGACAACTCAAGAATCACGAGAAGAACTACCCGACGCATGATTTGGAGCTTGCAGCAGTTGTATTTGCTTTGAAAATATGGCGGCATTATCTTTATGGGGTTCATGTAGATGTGTTTTCAGACCACAAGAGCCTCCAGTACTTGTTCAAGCAGAAAGAATTGAATTTAAGGCAGCGGCGGTGGTTAGAACTGCTCAAGGATTATGACATGAACATTTTATACCATCCAGGGAAGGCGAACGTGGTGGCCGGCGCTCTCAGTCGAAAATCCATGGGTAGTTTGGCTCTCAGCACTTATACATACATTCTCGAATACTTCAGCTCTAGTGAATCAAGGTTAATATGAAATAAGCTCGTTTAGTATGTTTTTTTCGGTGTTAATTAATTTATTTGCTTGAATATTAGTTTGTTGTAATACGTATATAATTTTACATTAATGCTGGTAAGAATAAATTTTTGAATACAGGGAATGGTGATGCATCAAAAAGTTATGCGGCAAACTTTGTTGGTTCTATATTTTCTTCTTCTGAGTCATAATGGGGTTCAAGGAGAAACAAAGAGGTATTCAGAACTAGAGGACTTGGAATTGGAAAAGCAACTTAAACTTTTGAACAAGCCAGCCATCAAAACAATAGAGGTATACATTTTGGTTGAAAACCATTGTAGTTCTAATTAGTCTCTCAAGTTTAAGGTAATAATGTATTTGTGTGCTAAGATTCCCTTTTTGGTACAGCCAGCTGGTATTTAGAATCCATGATTTGGACGAATTCATATTTGTACCACATAGGGCCCATTAATGGACGAAGCGCTCCATATAAAATTTCTTTTATTTTTTAAAAGCCGAACCTAAATCTTTAGTAAAGGGTGGATGGATCTCAAACATCCCACCATACCTTTTTGCGGTGAACATATGATTCCATCCTCCATCTTTGACCATGAAGAATTAAAAACATCAAACCAAACTTTCGTAGAATTTTTTTCCTTTTTGAAAATCTATGCTATATTAAAAATGAAGAACCTTCTACATCAAAACACTTTTTATGTATTTTTATTAATTAGTTTTAGTATACGCATTTTACGTGTGTACCCCATATCAATAAGCATAGAACTTTAAAATATTATATAAATATTATTAAGCTATGTACAGCGATGTGCAATTGTCAAGAGTCATTATGAAAGTATTTTTAAATTTTGATATTGAGTTAAAAATATAATAATTACGATAATAATAATAATAATAATAATAATAATAATAATAATAATAATAATAATAATAATAATAATAGATTTCGCGATTTTAATAAAGTCAAAACAATGACTTTTATAAAAGTTCTTTTTAAGCATATAAAAGTCTTTTTTGGCTGTTGAAACTCAAACTAAATATGTATAAAATGATAAATCATGAGACTGGCTGTTATTATTGATTTATTTATTCAAAAGTAACGAATGGGATAGCAAGATATTCGATCAATATATCATATATTGTTTATTTGACAAATTTTTTGGCTTGCAGACTACATATGGGGATTTGTATGATTGTGTGAATTTTTACAAGCAACCTGCATTTGATCATCCATTGCTGAGGAATCATCATTTTCATCCTGAGGCATGTCCCTAATCTCCATTTTACCATGAACTTTTTAATAAAATTATGAAATTGTGACATCAACCTTCTTATTTTTGAATGGACAGATGAAACCTGCTTTACGTAGGTTAAAACAAAATTCAGGTACCTCGACAACTAGTGGGTCATCAACAATATGGCTTAACGGTGAAGGTTGTCCCGTTGGAACAGTTCCTATTAAAAGAATTAGCAAGGAAGATCTTATTAGACAAAGATATATTCCACCACCAGAAGATATCAAATTTGATGTCCAATTGGCTGCTGTAAGATAATTTTATACTAATTATTAGCTTTAGCTTAAATAATTCACTTTCAAACATTATAATGTATAACTTTATTTATAGGAATAACAGTATAAAAATACATAAAATTATACTGAGACTTAAGAAAAAGTCATGCATTAAGAGATTAAATATGTTTAGTTCTCAAATATCGTGACTAATCTCATATATATACATATATTTTCCTGCTTGTTCACAGGCTAACCAAACTGAGCCAAAAAGAAATTCGCAAGGATACAAGGTATACATGTGGAGGAATAGAGTTGATATATAGTATTTCTTTTGTTTCTTTTTGAGCTAAGCCTTACTTGATACTTCCTCCGTCCATATTAGACTTTGTATTTCCTTTAAAATTTAATAAATAAAGTACATATTTTATCGTATACCGCAAAAAAAGTTTTTGAAAAATAATTTGGTAATAAGTAATTAATAATAAGGGTAATAGAAAGAAAATAATATATTCTTCTTTTGATTTGCTAAATGGATTAGTAATTAAAAGTGATAATATATTTCTAATATTGTGGACAAGTGAACTTGGTAGAGGAAATATATATAAATAGATCTTTTTCCGCTTTAATTAATTTTATATATATATAGAGAGAGAGTGGGGTGGGGGGTGGGGGGGGCTTAGCAATGTGAGTTGGCACAAGTTAAGTCTTGATCAAGCTCTTTTAATTTGTCACTTTTTCCTATGCCCCTCATTGTTTGCTATAAAAGAAAGAAATTAAGATTTGAAGCAAATACTAACATGCTAAATTTGGATGCACATACTTTTATCATGAATTAATTACTATATTCAGGTTGCAATAGCTCGAACTCAAAATGATCCAAATAATAAGTTTGGAGGAGCTACAATGGCAGCTAGTATATGGAATCCTCATGTTGAAGGCCAGCAACATAGTGCATGTCGATTGATAATTCAAAAGGGATCAGATGTTGTACAAGTTGGATGGAGAGTAAGTTTAATAACTTGTAATATAATAATTAATTAATTTTTTTCGTTTCGCTGTGACATCATTTTTTTCTTTTTATGTTTTTTATTCTTTTAAGTAGATTGGGGTGAGAGAATAAAGGAAAAGATGATGTGATAAGTTTTAAATATATATTGTACTCTAGTTGCAAGTTTAAAGTGTTATCAGTAAGCTTCCATTCAATTATCATGATAACTCTATTTCATGCCATAGGTGGACCCAATGCTCTACGGGGATACTAGAACTAGGCTATTTATACATTTTCAGGTAAGTTAAATATCTAACTACACTCCTATGATTTCATTATCAAGTACATGAAACTAGTATATCTTTTGGTATATCTATGTGCCTCAATTTTCATAACTTATGTAAGAATTTTTTTTATGAATAGGCTGGTAATATTCATTGCTTCAATATACTATGTCCTGGCTTTGTATTGGTGAACACTAAGACACCTATTGATATGGTATACAATCGTTCTTCACACGTTGGAGCTACTACATTATATGAGGATACCATGTCCATCGATCGGGTACACTTTATATTTCTTTATTAAGTTACTATAAACTATATCAGTGTATCCATAAAAGTACTAACATAGACACTTCTTATTAAAAATAAAAGGATTTAGTCAATGGGAATTGGTGGCTCTTGCTTGAAGAAGACTTCACACAAATTGGTTTTTGGCCTCAAAGGATCTTCACCAATTTGAAAAATTTCGCTACGAATGTCGAATGGGGAGGAGTAGTATATAGTCCGCCAGGTAAACCTGAACCCCCAATGGGCTCCGGCCTTTTTCCCATTGGAGATACAAGTCATGAAGCTTATTGTAGAAAGATTGCAGTTATAAATGCTAAAGGTGAAACCATAGATGAAGATAAAACTACCGCATATGCCGACAATCCTAATTTATACAAGGTTGTTGATATACCTCATTGGCAAGCTGGAAATCGTCAACATTTTGTACTCTATGGGGGACCTGGTGAGAATAGACAAGTGTAGGTTATCTAGTCTTGCATATTTTATGAAGTATGTTTTAGCTAGTTATACATAAAATGGAAGCAAGTGCAATGCACGACACCGATATTTGATTAAGCAATTTACTTCATGTGGACAACACCCTTTAAATTCATAAAACCTATGTATAAGCAGTAAGTTGTCATCACTTATATCCAGTACTTGTTCATGTTTCGATTTTTTTTTAATTTATTTTTTATTTCGCGACAATTAATCTCAAACACAGATCTGTGATTCAAACCTTAATTTTGATGCAAAATGTTAGTGCCAATCATGATGATTACTGTTGTACGTAATAATATTCGAGGAACCAAATCAACAACTTGCAATTACATTAAAAGCATACTATAAATACTATTTCAAAGAAAATGGGCCAGAATGATCATCTTAAAAATTTATCACGACCCAAAATCCGGCTAGTCGTAATGGCATCTAACCCAACCTATTAGGTAATCCAAATGATAAACGACACAACTCAAATAGGATAACATGAATCAATAAATACAATAACTGAGCTTTATATACAAAATCCCACGGATTGATAGTACAAGTCATGAGTTTCTAAGACTTAGAATTTGGAAAGTTGTTACGAAATAAATACATCATCTATTCGAAACATACATAAACAGATTTATAAATCTAAAGCTACCAGGAACAAGATGCGACTATAACCGGAATGCAGGTATATCTTCAATGCCAGCTTCCGCCATACTCAGCAACATCAACTCCAAAATCTGCACGCAATGTGCAGATGTATAGTATGAGTACAACCGACCCCATATATTTCACGAGCCAATGATCATGACCGGCACCCAGGAGCATGTACCCCCAAGTAAGACTCATCGGTATTTTACAGAAAATCGGACAGAGTTTCCCCTGTTTTTGGACTATCCCAAAAATTTTCCTGTATCAAATCAGCAGCCAAACATCCTAGCTAATAGCAATTCAAATGACAATGACCTTATCATTCAACCAAAATAAATATCTACCTTTAATAGTCCACCCACTAACAACTAGAAATAATACTTTCTATCCAAATTTGATAAGAATGAGCGATACTCAACATAAATCTATAATAACGAAGAATACGCAAGACACTAAAATATTGACTATGGACCGACTCTAAGAGTTCAAAGAAAAGACCATAACAATAAATAAAATCTCCACCCACGCGAACAAGTGCGAGGCTCACCGAGAACTTCAACATGTGCGCTCTAATTAACGAAATCCTCGCCTGCGTCAACTGCTGTCTCTGTAAAAAAAAAATTAGCGGGGAATTGTCACACTTCCTTTTTTACACACCTACCCCGAAGGATAAATGTATAAGGGAGTTTTTCCATTTAAAGTGACATTATTCGAAATGGGATTATTTATTTGTTTTATAGAGTCGCCACTTGGGAAAGGATTGGCTTTTGGTGTCCCAAGTCACCGATTTAATTTAAATCCCAAATCGAGGAAAATTTCGACTTCCCTATTGGAGTCTGCGAACCAGAAATTCTGAATAAGGAATTCTGTTGACCCGAGGGAAGGTGTTAGGCACCCTCGGATCCCGTGGTTCTAGCACGGTCGCTTAAATTATTATAATTGGCCTATTATCTGATTTTAATACATGTTTTAGCCTATGGTGCAATTTTAAACTTTATCCGCTTTATTTAATTATTTTTTTTTTAAGGAAAATTGCAACGTTATTTAAAACACGTCTTGAACCACGTCACATAAATGCACCCGCGATTCTCGACATATTTTATCTAACATTGTTGAGATTTGGATTTGGGTCACATAAATGTGCACCCGAGTTTAGGAAGATAATATTATTAAAATAACGCGCCTAAAGCAACTACGCATTAGCAACTTTGCGAGGGCCATGAAAATTTGCTAAATGGCACGCCTCGATTTCTAAGGATGAACAAGACTAATTAAGTGAGGGCCGTGAAATTTGAGATTTTATTTGGCACAACACGCCTCGAATTATTTTAAAAGGATTTTTACTTAACTAAAGCAGACTACAATGCTTTTGAATTAATTAATCTCCTAAAACTAATTTGAGATAAACGACATGATCATATGAACCAACAATTTGCTAGCCAAACCAACTAAATGAAACAAATTGCAAAGAAAATTTACTTCATTCGCTTAACTTTTATAAAGAACAGAGGCATGTAGTCATCTATTGAGCATTATTTCTTAATTATATACAGTTATCATTTTCACTTGTTTTACGATGCAATAACACAGATATTAGAGCAAACGACTTCAACATATAATCGTGACCACAGAACTCTTATTAACCCAACAACCAAAAGTCAAGGAATTAGAAAATATCACGGCAACCAAGAAACACTCAATCAAATATACATTGTCTTCAATATCCACAAACAAAAAGTTAACACTCAGAATCACTAGAAATTGAGAATTCGATCAATCGTACAATGACTCACTCATGGTTTTTGTTCACTGTAAATAAATTAACGCAGATAGAGTAGTAAATGCACGAACCTGAGAAAAGCAGTTTTCGATTAATAAACGAGATTCCGGCAATTACACGAAACAAACGAAAACCACAACTTCGATCAAAATTTGAAGCAACGATCAGCCCGGACAGAACCACGAGCCGCCTCGGACGGCAACAAGACTTCGAAACCCCCACAGTGCCTCAATCGAACTAGTTTAGAAGCAGGAACAAGAGCTCGGATAGCAGCAAAATAAAGGGAGATCTACAAGTTTCAGCGCTTCCACTTTGGATTGATTCAAACTAATCTTTGATTTCAATTTTTTTTTTGAACGAAAGGGTTTAAAATTGTATACTGACCAATTTGGGAGTGATCTGAATTTGTCGTCAGCTTTCGAATCTTTAAACAAAGTATATACAAGTGTGTGTGAGGGTGGGTGTGTTGAGGAAGATGATCCGAGGGGGGTGGGTCGTGTATTTTGGGCGCAGCTCTTCAGAGTATGTCCGTTCCCTTTTTTTGTGTATTGCGCCTGATTGTATATTTTTTAGAGTGTTTTTGAGGTGTGTTTTTTATGTATTTAATATTATATAGGGTAGGGATTAGGTTAGGGGTATGGGTCTAGGAACTATGGGCTAGGTATTTTGGGCCAAAGACTAAAAAATGGACTATAAGATTTATAAAAACGGGATAAACCAACCTAAAACTAATTCTTTCTTCTAAAATTATGTACAATTATAATATAAAAATATAAAACTAATTTTAATTAATTGAACTAAACTATAAAACATAAAACTATTTTTTTAGTGTTTTCAAGATTATAAAAATAAAGATAGGGTACTATTTTTTATAATTTTTTTTTTTTAGTAGATTAAAAATGACTATAAAATATTAATAGACCTATTTTCGTAATTTTTTTATTTTCTTGTAATAAATAAAGTAAATAGTAAAAAGTAGTTGAAATGGCGATATTAGGCCTAAACTAAATATTTACATGCTAAATTGGGTAAAATTTTGGGGAGGGTCAAAAATCANGCAAGGTAACAGAAGTGTATGGGAGTACCACATGGAGTTTGCCTGCTTGTCCAAGTATGCTATTCATATGCTGCCCACCATGGAGGCTAGAGTGCGTCGGTTTGTTCAGGGCCTTAATCATTTGACTATTAATGAGGCTTCTACAGCAGCGTTGAATTCTGACATGAACTACGGGAGGATGGTAGCATTTGCTCAGGCCATAGAGGACCGTAAGTTGAAGAACAGAATGGCAAGAGAAAGTAACAGCAAGGCCCGGTCTACGGGCAACATGGGAGAGTCGCTAGGTGGGGGAAGATCAGCTTTTAGGGGAGGATCATCAGGGCCTTCCCAGTCTGTTGCACAGTCTTCAGCTAGTGCACCGCCATCAGGGCCCAGCCAGCAGCAGTGGAGTCGTTTCAGGCCCGGTCAGGGCAACAGGGGATTCCACCAGCGAGGTCGGTCAGGGGAGAGGTTTCAGCAGCAGAAGAGATCCCCGTGCACCAAGTGCGGGAAGATGCACTCGGGGGTCTGCTACACGGAGTTGCCTATATGTTATGGATGTGGGATGAGGGGCCATATTCAGAGACACTGTCGTGCATCTCGCCAGGGAGCGGGTAGGGGCCCGGCTCAGCCCTCCAGTCCAACAGCTGCCACATCTTCAGATCCCTCTCTAGCTCGAGGTGCCCCAGCAACCGCAGGTCGTGGCGCATCTAGGGGTGGTACACAGAGTTTGGGAGGTCCCAGCCGATTCTATGCTATGAGTGGCCGTCAGACTGCAGAGGCTTCTCCAGATATTGTTACAGGTATTCTGACTGTCCAATCTCATGATGTGTATGCGCTTATTGATCCTGGTTCCACTTTATCCTATGTTACCCCGTTTGTTGCTATGAGATTTGGGATAGAACCGGAGCAGCTTCATGAGCCATTCTCAGTATCCACCCCAGTTGGTGAGCCAATTTTGGCTGCTCGAGTTTATAGAGGTTGTGTTGTTACGGTGCGTGGTAGGGATACCGTGGCCGATCTCATCGAGTTGGGAATGGTGGATTTCGATGTAATAATGGGAATGGATTGGCTTTACTCATGCTTTTCCAAACTTGATTGTAGGACTAGAACCATTAGGCTTGAATTTCCTAATGAGCTCATCATCGAATGGAGGGGAGATAATGTAGTGCCTCGTGGTCGGTTTATTTCCTACCTTAAGGCCGCGAAAATGATCAAGAAGGGGTGTATCTATCATCTAGTTCGAGTTGCAGACACCAATGCCGAGGCACCTAGCCTTGATTCTGTACCAGTTGTGAATGAATTTCCAAATGTCTTTCCAGATGAACTCCCTGGGATTCCGCCAGATAGGGAAATTGATTTTGGGATCGATGTGATGCCAGGCACACAGCCTATATCGATTCCACCTTACAGAATGGCACCGGCAGAATTGAAAGAGCTAAAGGAGCAATTGAAGGATTTGTTAGAGAAGGGTTTCATTCGGCCAAGTGTGTCGCCATGGGGCGCACCGGTCTTGTTCGTAAG